TCATGGCAATAAGGGTTCATCCGAGTTATTAAATCCACCGGAACCATGGAGTCGAGTTTGATTTTATCACGAACTCACGGAGGGCTGCCCGTTAGCATACACCCTCAAGAGAGGCTACCTTGCTAACGTATCCAAACTCTTAACCATAGTACTCTTTTGACACCAAATAAACCTGACCATAGCGGAACATAAAACTTGACCTTAGGTTGCGAAATTTTCTTTGCATCATTGTGCCTAAGTGCCATATATGTGATCATTTTGATCTTAACCTTAAAAAATTTTCTTTGTCTATGGTGGTTTATTTTATGACTTATTAATGCCAATGGACCGTACTCAATTAGTAATTAGCGCAAACACTAATAAAACTGAAAAACTAAGACAAAAACACCTAGATTTGATCACCGCGCCACGACAGAAAATTCCGCATCACGACAATTAGTGCCGCATCACGATAATTAGTGTCGTGTCACAACAGGTTATACCGCGACACAGTACAGTTTTCCATGTCACGGTGCCTAGGAATAAGTCCAGTCGGCTTTTTTTTAGTCTTCCGTGCTAATTTGGTCCTCGCATCAGTCATTTTGGTTATTGTTCACATGTCTAGCCGTACGATCATACCACGAGTCTTATAACATCACTTAATCACTCACGAGTCATGTATAGCCCACACACTTTCTTTATTTTTGACTCGATTCGTGCACCGTGTCGTTTATGATCGTATACTATGTTCATGCACCCTTTTTTCGCCATAATCAAAAAAATGAGTGGAGTTTTTCTCTTCTATTTTCAAATGACTATTTTCTCCTTTCCTTGCCTATCTTGATTAATGAGTCAAACAATTAAGTGAATTATTTTATTTCAGTACTTGGTCAAGGAGCAGGGGTAAATTAATACGGTTCGAGTCATTACCGCAACAATCTCTTAGGCGTTCACCTTCAAACTACTTTCAGTTTGTTCCAATGGCCACTAAGGAAGACGTTGAGAACCTCAACAAGACCATCAAGACACTCGCTGCCATGGTACAAACGCTCACAACTAGGGTCACTACCATGGAACAAAACAAGGTCACTGTTTTTGCCCTTGACAAATTGAAGGAACAGATGAGTAAGATTTCTAAGGATTTCACTTATGTGGAATAGCCTCCCACTCCCCTAGGTATGAAAGAAAGACTTCCTGAAAAGTTCTTCACTACTGATATTCTAAAGTTCAAGCCCACTAACAATCTAATATTCCATTTTAAGGCGTTCTCTGCAACCATGGCTCTTAAGGGAACGGATGTAACACTCTTCCCTACGGTGTTCCTTATCTCCTTAGAGCATGCTTGCCAACAATGGTTTTATTCCCTAGATGCCAAGCGTACTGCGACTTGGCAAGATGTCACCGACAGTTTCATGAATCATTACAAGTGTAACATTCAAACTAAAACTTCTGAACGTGAACTCTCCATTCTCAAACAGAAAGAGAATGAAGGCTTCACTGCTTATCTAAACAGGTGGAGGGAAACGACTTCACTCTTGGTATATCCTCCTAAAGAAAGAGAAATGGTTTGCCTCTTATAGACACCCAAATGTGTCTCCCCAAAACCAAACCTAGTGATGACTACCTTTCATGTCTTTTGATTATCGAATAAAGTGAAAGTGTGGAAAGTATAATGATGAGGATGTTTTTATTAAAATATTTCTCTTTCTGTTTTCAAAAGTATTCCTTATTCCTATTTTATGAAAAATAGCCAGTCCAATTTGGTTTGGTCCATGATAAGGGTCCAATAATACTATAGCTGGATTGGGCTCGGATAGAGCTTTCCAATAATATATTATAGGCCCAATTCCGATGAATTATGAGGAAGTTATGGATTAAATTAGATTAGGCCCAATAATTTTAAAGGTGGCCTGATGATCTAGAGGAGGGCCTATTATATTTTGAAGATGTTTTATTTAGAATAAAATATGTTAAATCTGATTTCGAAAATTGCTCAGACACATAATTATCTACAACCGGTGTTAAAGGTAATTACGCGTGGAAAAGCGCGTTGATTTTTAAACCAGCGCGAGACGACAAAGTTGTCGCCAGGCGCTGACCTTCATCGCCTGGCGCTGGCCTTTGTCGCCTGGCGATGAGCCTGTCGTTTGCGACATGACGTATTTTATTCCGTATATGATTTTATTCGATCCCGTGCTATTTTTCCTATAAATAAGGGTCGTATCTCCCTATTTTAAAATCATGTACATCTACAATCATCTCTCTCTTTCTCTCTCTAAAAGCTAGAAGATTTCTTCTCTCCCTATTCTTTTTCTAAACCTTCCCTCTCTCAAAATTCCTCATACATTAGTTTTAGACACACCTAACCAAGTTCGAAGTTTCCTTCTCCCTAGACATGAACGCTTTGGTATTTCTGAGGGTTTGGTCCCAAATCTCTATTTCAATTATTTAATTTAATTGTTTGTTTTAATATTTTCCTTGAAGTTACCAACGCGTGTATTTTGTTATTAGAAAGAGATATGAGGCATCAAAGTAAGTACTTTAATTGTTATATTGATTTTTTGATATAGAAATCATGCTTAGATTTTTATTTTGATGTTTTATTCTTTCCTAGTATCATGTTTAGGGTTAACTAAAATTTCTAATATCATGTATGATTATTATGATGCTTCCTATTTCTTTCCTATTATCATTTTAGTATCATGTTAGGGCTAAAGCTTTGATCTTTAATGCTTAGTGACATACTAGGATTTGTTAATAATCTTGTTAGAATCATGCCTAAGATCTAGCTAATAATATTATGCTTTAACATGATTATTTTGTATTATAAAATAAAGGAAAAGGGAGAATAAGAGAGAGAGAGATGTAGAGAGGTAATTGTGTTGTCTCTATTCATCCATTTCATGAGCCATCTATATATATACATGAAGGAACATTGTAACTTATATGGACAATGAAGAGTCCATTCATGAGAGGGTTAATGAGACCTAATGACATATGGTGGGTTACAAGGATGTTATTACTTCCATACTTAAGGTAGTCATAAAAGAGATATTTACAAGTTATAATGGCCATCCATAATTAACATATTTTATAACACTCCCCCTTGGATGGACATTATCTAAAATAGATTTAATGTGCATATATGCTGCCTCATTAAAAACCTTTTCAGGAAAAACCCCTGTGGGAAAAAAAATCATGGATAAGGGAAAAAGAGTGAAGCGCACAATTACTCCCCCTCATTATTATATCACTGAAAATCTTTGAGACGATACAATCCAATACGATAAACTAACTTTTTAAATGTTGCTGTCGGAAGAGCCTTAGTGAATAAGTCTGCTAAATTCTCACTTGAACAAATCTGCAATACATTTATATCTCCATTCTTCTAAAAATCATGAGTGAAGAAAAATCTGGGTAAGATGTGCTTTGTTCTGTCGCCTTTGATGTATTGTTCCTTAAGTTGAGCAATATAGGCTGCGTTATCCTCATATAAAGTTGTCTTTGCCTCTTTCCCAAATGATAAACATCAAACTTCTTTTATATGTTGAACTACCGACCTTAACCATACACATTCTCGACTAGCCTTGTGAATTGCTAAAATCTCATAATGATTGGAAGAAGTAGCTGCAATGATTTGTTTCATGGAACGCCAAGAAATGGAAGTACCACCATATGTGAACACATATCCAGTTTGTGATCGACCATTATGAGGATCAGATAAATAACCTACATCTGCAAAACCAATCAAATTTTCTTTGGACAACTTTGGGAAAAATAAACCTATATCCTTTATACGTTGAAGGTAACGAAGTAAATGTTTAATCTCATTCCAATGCCTTCAGGTTGGACATGAACTAGACCTTGCTAATAAATTAACTTGAAATGATATGCCAGGTCGTGTATGACTTGCAAGGTACATTAGTGCTCCAATTTCACTGAGATATGGTACTTCATGACCAAGAATTTCTTCATCATTTTCCCGAGGTCGGAATGGATCTTTCTCTACTTCAAGTGATCTTACAACCATAGGGCTTCTCAATGGATGTGTTGTATCCATAGAAAATCTTTTAAGAAGCTTTTCTATGTATGTTGATTGATGCACAAGGATTCCATTCTCTAGGTGCTCTATTTGTAACCCCAAGCAGAATTTTGCCTTTCCTAGATCTTTCATTTTGAACTCTTTCTTTAAATAATTGACGTTCATTGAGATCTCTTCAGGAGTTCCAATGATATTCAAATCATCAACATACACTGAAATTATAACAAATCCCGATCCAAATTTCTTAAAAATACATGGGCTGATAGGATCATTCTTATAACCTTCTTTCAATAAATACTCACTTAGACGGTTATACCACATATGCCCAGATTGTTTCAATCCATAAAGAAATTTGTTCAATTTAATACAGAAATGTTCTCGAGAACTAGATTTTGATGCTTCTGGCGGCTTGAATTCTTCTAGGAGCTTCATGTAAATGACATTATCCAGTGGGCCATATAAATAAGCTGTGACTACATCCATCAAACGTAATTCATGTCCTTCTCTTATTGCCAGACTAATTAGAAATCTAAAAGTAGTTGCATCCACCACATGAGAATATGTCTCCTCATAATCAATACCAGGTCTTTGTGAGAATCTTTGTGCAAATAAGCGTGCCTTATATCTTACAGCTTCACCCTTTTCATTTCTCTTTCGCACAAAGACCCATTTATATCCCACTGGCTTTACACCTTCAGGTGTATGGACTACAGTACAGGTCCGAATACTTCTCTTTTTTCAAGAGATTTTAATCCTGCTTCAATTGCTTCATTCCATTTTGGCCAATCATTTCTTTGTCTACATTCTTCAATGGATTTTGGTTCATGATCCTCATTATTATCCATAACATCTAATGCTACATTGCATGCAAAAACATCATCGACGTCGATTTGATTTTGGTTCCTTGTAATTCCAGACATGTTATAATTTGTTGAAATTTCTTCATTATCAGGTACCTGAATTTCTTCTTGTATTATGTCTAAGTCTCTTCTGTAGATCCTTCGAAAAATGTTTCTTCAATTTGACCATCATCAATCAATGCTCCTTTTCTTTTCCGATGATTCTTATCTTTGGAATCTATTGGTCTTCCACGTTTCTGACGTGGTTTAGACTCATTAGCAAATTTATTTTGTCCTTCTGGGACATCTATTTTAAATGGAGCATTTACAAATGGAATATGTGACTTGGTCACTCTTTTTTGGGCAGCAAACGAGTCTGGCAATTGATTCGCTAAACTTTGTAAATGAATTATCTTTTGAACTTCCGGTTCACATTGTTTAGTTCGAGGATTAAGATAAGATAATGATGATTCATTCCATTTAATATCTTTTTCCAGATCTCTCTTTTCTCCCCTAATGTTGGGAAAAGTGACTCGTTAAAATGACAATCTACAAAATGAGCCGTAAATAAATCCCCTGTTGTAGGCTCAATTTATTTAATTATTGACGGGGATTCAAACCCAACATACATTCCCCACATCCTTTGAGGACCCATCTTAGAGCGTTGTGGTGGAGCTATTGGAACATAAACCGCACATAAAAAAATTCTTAGATAGGAAATATTTGGTTCCTGACCATAAACCAATTGTAATGGGGAGAACTTATGATAACTTGTTGGCCTAATTTGAATTAGTGCTGCCGCATGTAATATAGCATGTCCCTAAGCAGAAATTGGGAGACTGGATTTCATAAGCAATGGTCTAGCAATTAACTGAATACGTTTTATTAATGACTCTGCCAGATCGTTTTGTGTATGAACATATGCTACAGGATGTTCAACATTTATCCCAATGGACATGCAATAATCATTAAAAGCTCGAGATGTAAAGTCACCAGCATTGTCAAGCCAAATAGTCTTAATGGGAGTATCTAGAAAATGTGCCCGTAACTTAATCAATTGGGCAAGTAATCTCGCAAACTCCAGGTTACGAGTTGATATTAAAGACACATGTGACCATCTAGTTGATTCATCAATTAAAACTATAAAATATCTAAATGGTCCACATGGGAGATGTATGGGCCCACAAATATCTCCTTGTATACGTTCCAGAAAACTAATTGATTCAAAATTAGTTTTAGTTGGTGATGGGCGAATAATCAACTGGCCTTCTGAGCAAGCAGCACATGAAAAATTATTATGAAGAATCTGCTGGCTCGTCAAAGAATGTCCACATGAATTCGTAATTATTTTTTGCATCATTATTGAACCGGGATGGCCTAATCGATCATGCCAAACAACAAAATTATCAGTAAACTTCTGGTTTATTATAGCATGAGCTTCAATAGCATTGATTTTTGTGTAGTACAAACCACTGGAGAATGTAGGTAGTCCCTCCAAAACATGTTTTGAGCCTTGAGTTATATTTGTGATTTGAAGGAATTCGTTATTATCATCATTATTGTCTAAATATGATAACCATTGTTGCGAATATCCTTAAAACTTAATAAATTTCTTTGAGACAATGGAGAGTATAAAGCATCAATTATTTTAATTTCAGTTCCCCAAGGCAATTTTTTAGTGGCTCTTCCGGACCCTCAATGATATTTGTACTACCCGATATGGTACTCACATTAATCCTTTTCATCATTGAATGACAGAAATATTTTTTATTTGTAAATATTGTATTAGTAGTTGCACTGTCAACAAGACATAATTTTTCACCATTCATAGCAAATTGAACTTGAGTAATATCCATGTTCTTCATGAAATAAAATATATCTCAAATATTAAGCATAAGAATAATGATGATAAAATAATTAAATCAATAAAACACTCAAATAGTTCATAAAATCATAAAGCAAAATTCCTTATTACAACCATAGAAATTAACATAAGTAAATAACTAGATAAAGTCTATTACTTAAAGTTTACACAAAAAAATATAAAATCAAAATTATTCCCTTCTGAGGAAATAAGAAAATTAGCAACATCGAAATGATTTGCATTGCCAAAATCAAAATCACCTTCACCATCTTCAAGAACAAGGTTTGCCTCAACTTTCTTTCCTTTTTTCAATGATTCTTGGTAAAGTTCAACAAGATGCTTTGGAGTTCTACAAGCCCAAGACCAATGACCTTTTCCTATACAACAATAACATATATTGGTATCACTTTTCTCTTTATCATCCCTACCGACCCTACGTTCCCACTTTTTTTGGGAATGTGAGTTGTGAAATGACCTCCACAACCTCTACCATATCCACTTCCACGACCCCGGCTGCGCATTGGCCACAACCGCGACCTCTACCTCAACCATTACTGCCGGAGTGGTCTCTGTTTTTAGTTTATTTCCCGTTTTGGGTTGCCACATTCGCTTCAAGGAATGGACTAGAGCCAGTAGGACGTGATTCATAATTTTTCATTAACAACTCGTTATTTTGCTCAGCCACAAGAAGACAAGATATTAATTCAGAATATTTTTTAAAACTTTTTTCTCTATATTGTGTCTGCAGGACAATATTATTTGCATGGAAAGTGGAGTATGTCTTTTTAATCATTTTTGCATCAGTAATATTTTCTCCACATAATTTCAATTGAGAAGTTATTTTAAACATAGTTGAGTTATATTCACTAACAGATTTAAAATCTTGCAATCTCAAATTCAACCATTCATAACAAGCTCTAGGGAGTATCACTGTTTTTTTTTTATGGTCATACCTTTCCTTTAGATTACTCCAAAGGATTTGTGGGTCTTTCACAGTTAAATATTCATTTTTAAGTCCTTTATAGAGGTGATGGCGAAGGAATATCATGGCTTTTGCCTTATCTTGGAGTGTTGCTTCATTACCCTCCTTAATGGTTTCACCAAGGCCTTTAGCATCTAGGTGTATTTCAGCATCTAACACCCATGATAGATAATTTTTTCTAGTAATATCAAGGGCCACAAATTCAAGATTGGTAAAGTTCGACATATTTCACTATACAAAATAACAAGACAAGATTAAATAGCATACAATAAACATATACTAAATGAAAACAATAATACTACTGTTAATGATTTAATCAAAGGGGATATCATGAGTTATACAATTCTTAACATATTTACAAGACATATTAGTAGTCTAAGCAAAATACTCATCAAACTAAAATAATATAATCCGAAATATTAGAAAAGAAAAGTAATAATTTAGAAGAAAAGCAAAAAAGTCATCAAACTAAAATGGTTAGGAACATGTCAGAAGCAAAATTAAGGTGAAGGTGCAAAAATCGAGAGTGAAGGTGAAGGTGGAAAGCATATTGTAACCTGACATATAACACCTTGTAAAATAAAACAAAACCGAAGGCATATAAGGTGAAGGTGCAAAACGAAAGTGAAGGTGGAAAGCATTTGCTATAAACCCCTATGCGTGTTAATATAAAACATTTGCTAGCATACTTACGGACTATATAATTTCTAGCATCAATATTTGATACGTGTTAACTAATGTTATAAAATGAATACCTTTGGACTTTTTTTCTTGGCTAGTATACTTACGGAGTGATCAATGTAATAGTTTCGTTTAGAGTATTGTGCTGATAACATATTATAAAAATAAGGGAAAATGGAGAATAAGAGAGAGAGATGTAGAGAGGTAATTGTGTTGTCTCTATTCATCCATTTCATGAGCCATTTATATATATTCATGAACGAACATTGTAACCTATATGGACAATGAAGAGTCCATTCATGAGAGGGTTAATGATACCTAATGACATATGGAGTGTTACAAGGATGTTATTACTACCATAATTAAGGTAGTCATAAAAGAGATATTTATAAGCTATAATGGCCATCCATAATTAACATATTTTATAACATTTTGATTATTATTATGATTATTATGTTGCTTGATATTATATTTTTTATTGTTATTGCTTGATCACGCCTTTTATGCATGTTTAAAGGGAATTTGTACTTGTAATCACGCTTAATAAGACAATTAATAATCTTGTTAAGGGTTAATATGATTATAATTCATGTGATCAACAATAATAGGTTTATTTGTGCATTAATATTCAAATAACATAGATTAAACAGGTTTAGGTAACCTGTTGATTGCATGTTAGTCAGAAAGCGCACATGAATACGAGAATAATAAAGTAGAGGCCTATTTTTAGGGCAAGTTTAATCTCTTTTAGGTTGGATTTGTACCTTCATCCCTGAAATTCCAGTCATTGTTCCAGATCTATTGGAGTTAACGATCTCCTTGATCGTTAAAGGGTGTAACCTTCACCTTGTGAACAGTTTACAAGTTCCTAAAACTTATTGGCAACTCTTTTTCTCTAGCTTCCTTCCCTTTGGACGCCACCATGCTTAAGTGTATGATCACATTAGGGCTCAAGTGTGGGATGCTTGAAATACTCCCTACACCTCTTTATTCAAAATCTAACTCACAAGTATAGGGAACATCTCAAATTTCTTCCACTAAACACTTTCGAAGTTGTATACGACATTGACATCAATATCGAGGACGAGCTAATAAAGACTGCTGGTAGTAACAATAATAACACTTGGAAAAACAAGAAGAACGCCCTTTCTTCTTCTTCGTCTTCTAAGCATGAAAATACTGCCAACAATATAAACCAAGTTGACCTCACTGAAGTGTTAGCTCTTGATTCTCCATTGCCCAAGAAAAGGAGAACTTACACTCCTTTAGGAATGACTTATGATGCGGCCTTTGATCGCCTCTACGGTCAAGGCTTGATTGCACATATTAGGCCATTTCCAGAGCTAAAACCTGAAGAAAAAAGCACCAAATGGAATCCCAATGCCTATTGCAAGTACCATCAAGGAAGGGGTCACTCTACCGGGCAATGTTGGAATTTGAAGGATGTCATTCAAGACTTGGTGGATGCAAACAAACTTCCCATCCCTCTAGGTGGTAAGAAGTAACAAGAAGTAATGAAGACAAAGCGCACGGCGAGCCCTTGGCGTGAGATTTCATGATTAGTTTCTCTTTCCCCAATTCAAGTCTATCATAGATTTCCCTTTCTGTAATTTGATAATTTTGTTAGCTTATTCACCATTTTCATCAATAAATTGAGTATTCCTTACATCTCGATCATTTTCAAGAAGAAAAAAAAATCAATTACCAAACTCTAAACAAAAGGTACACCAATGACTTAAGGCACCTTTGCAACCCTGTCATTCCCTATTAACCATTCAATCACATATCCATTTCTTCGTTAACCACTTTGAGCCTCATCCAACGATTAACCTTATTTATTCAACCCACATTCACTTAATTCTGGGATGGGAAGGTGTGCAATTTATATAACAGTCAAAAAGAAAGCTAAAAAACACAATGTCTAAAGGCAAGTGTTCCAATGTCTTCGATATGAACATATCTCAAATTGCGTCTCAAGTCAAGTGCTTGGTACCGTGCCTGAGAAACATGAATGTTAAGTGAGTGATGGACCTCATGATCTAAGATTGCCTACATTGATTCAAAAGAATGAAAAAAAGGAAAGAAATAAAGGAATTCAAATATGAAAAATACATGAAAAATAAAACTT